GTCTGACAAATGTGCCTGAGTAAACAATAAACCATCCACACAGCACATGAGCCGCATCTCAAAATGTCTGACAGACTAAGTAGAAACAGGTGTATTAGCACGTGTACAATAACTAATGAAAAAACTATATTTTATTTCTTTATAACATCTGAAGAATAAAGGAAAATTCCCCGCTTTAGGGCAAACACCTGCACCCAGGTCGGGTGAAGAAAGATTTGAAGAAGAATGAGTGAATGAGAGGGGGAAATGATAATGACTGTGGTCAGACAGTGGACTTAAAACATTGGCCTAAAGCACTAAAGCACAGTGGGAGACAATTGCTAAGGATGGAGGGGGGCGGAGTGAGAGGAAGAATATAGAAGCTACAGTAGGAGAACTACAGTAGATGAACAAAGGTTCAGTATCCAGTAAAACACTGCTACACTGTTGGCTTTAAAAGTATTGTAGCATCATGTAGAACCATCCTTTGAGGTTTTTCATTTTTTTTCTACCGTTTGTTTTGAGTAGAGTTGTGACCCTGTGATAGAATAGCAAACTGTAGGGTATACCCCGCCCCACCCATGGATAACTGGGATTGGCTGCAACACTTCCTGCAACACCAAAAAGGATGTTTAGTGTAAAAGGCAGGGATGGCTCAATCCAATGCGGACCATTATCAGTCTGATAATGTCGGGATCAAACAACAGAAAAAAAAAAAACTATAGCCCGCAGGAATATCTAGGTCCAAACGCTCAACTTAACTTTAACTTCATCATGATAGTACACATCCCTGGTACTCCAAGCTGCAGTATCGGTATCGTTATCGGACCTGAAGGAGTTATAACGAGCTATCTGTAGTAAAAGGTTTACACAAACTTTCTTTGATCTCAGACACTGCCATGTTTTGTGTCAGCGATTTTTGCATATACGTACCTCTGCATGTTAGTTCTTAGATCAATGCGTTTTTTTTTCTCAATTATTAAAATGCTTTACTTTGCCATTCAAAGTTCCATAAAATATTTGTACTAGCTCTTTGGACTGTAGGATTAGAGAGAATTTGTATAAAAGAAAATCTGTCTATAATATTTGTTTTTGTATTGAAGACACTCCCTAACTGTGACCCCCAGCCCATTTGAGTTTCAGACCCCTGATTTAGACAAATCACCAAATTTAGCAGTTATGCTGTATTGCTGCTTCTTTTTCTAAAATACTGCAGGTATTGCATTGGAGATTTGCAAATCGCTTATCACTTAAGCCATAATAGCTTTAAAAAAGTATATAAATATAAGAATAACATAAAAAAGCGCATGTGAAGTATTTCTTTTTCAATTTTTAACTATTTCTTGTCCGTACAATTAGAGCCAGACCTTGAACTGCATATGCGAAAAAAAATCAACTATGCTTCTCCCGGATACACACACAAATACACAAACACACAAACTGACACAGGTCCCAGATGTCCAGTGGTCATGATGTCATCAGCAGTATTGACAAACCCTGGACAATGAAGCCAGATGCTCAAAAGCGTCAGCGCAAATGTCTTGGTGTGCAAAGCCAGTGTGTGACACTGAAGTGGACCAAATTCTGTTCTCATGATCAAAAAATGCACATATAAACAATAAAGTCACAACAATAAGTTCCAGACAAACAAATCATAATGACAAGTCATTTCCCGTGACTGTTGATCAAGGCGAATTGCTAAGAATTTTGTGCTCTGTCTACACAGTACCACTATTTTATATGACAACTTATATTAGTCGTATAAAACGACTCAGCACAGACTAATTGGTCTCACATCAATAGGCTGCAGGAACACCCTCTTCTATCAACAGTCTGCTGCTTCACATTAAAATAAAGGGGGGGTGTAAAGCTCTGCTTTTGCCGCTTTCTGTCTTTGTTATTTCTTTATCTTTCTGCCTCCTGTTTCTCTCACCATTGAAGCTCAGCTTTAATTAAATAAATCATTTCTCCATTAGACCAGCTCTTCCTTGCAACAGAAAAAAAAAAACCTTGGGAGTGGCTTTTGGAGGTCAAAGCACGGGGAAATGACAGCAATCCAGGCTCCCAGCTGGTCTGCCCCCCACCTCCCTCCTCCACCGTCTCAACTCCCTGTCTACCCCTCCTCTCTCTCCTCTGTCTCCTCCTTCTCTCCGCCAGCAGGGATGCTGATGCTGGCTGAGAGCAGTCAGCAGCCCCCTGCCCAGGGCGTCCCATCATCTCAGTCTGCCAATTTATCACACCCCTCCTCCTTCCTTTTTACTCCTTCTCTACCACATGGTCCTTTGTATGTTGTGCAGCACCATTCACATGATGCGCCTGTATTTTACACAACAACAACAACATATATATATATATATATTGCTATAATAAAGCACAACTGTAATGGTTTGATAAACGTTTGAGAAATATTACGTCTCGTCACCTTCAGTGTTGGTCAGCTGTTGCCGTAGAGTGTTGGCTGTTATCACCAGCATCCTCTGGATCCTCCAGAACAGTACCACGTCATTGCACTCCAACTGAATGTGTACAAACATTTTGTAGGAATGATTCACAATGATCAGATGTTTGGCTTGTGGCTTTTAACATATATTTTTGAAAACCTAAACATTATTGCACAAGATACTGAAATGGAAAACAGAAGCTTTACTTTAAAGGGCAAAACAGGGAACAAATAATACTGAGTATTGCTGTAAAGACTGCAAATGTTGCACACAAAAAAACAACAACAAAACAATTAGCCATTGTACTTAAGAGAGAGCAACTTCAATTGCAATGTTGTATTTTTGCTAAATTCTAATTTACTCAACAACTGACTGCTCTAAAATAAAATATTTTCTTTCCGTCCTGGTACAATAATACAGTATTATAGTATTGTAGTATAAGAAAAATCAATGGTTTAAAGTAAAGGCCCCATTTTCAACTAAACAACTAAACAACGCCAATAAAGACAGTATTATTGCTTTAAAAGACTGTAAAATTTGCATTATAATATAAATATAAAAAATAATTTCGTATTTTTTTGTTTAAACGCTAAAAACGTGTGAATATACTACACAAAAATATCAAAAAATGTTTTAAAGAGCAGGTTAGCTAACATGGCTAAAATGCAGCTCTTTGGTTACGTTTTACACTAAAAAATAAACTAGCTACGTTTGGGGAAACCGGAAGCGCAGGTTGTAGGACAACAGCCGGGTTAAGCCAGGTGACTGACCAGACTATAGAACCAGGACCACACGCCGAACCCTGACTCAAAATGGACGCGGGTGAAGTGCTGTGAAGTGCCAGATATGCGTATTACCTTTCTCGCTGTTCCCTTGCTCCATGTTCTACATTGATACTCGTCCCGGACCAGTGACAATAGAGGCGTTGGAGAGTGGTGGTGCATGTGGTCCTGCTCTCCTAGCTGAGTGACAGCGATGTTGTCCAATCACAGACGAGATCAGAGGGGCGGCTCTCTTTGTTTTACTGACCACTGTACACAAACCTGACTCTAAGGAAAAACTGGGAAAATACTATTTTATATTTTTAAAACCTAGCTTTAAAAATCTACTAAAAGTATTTAAAGAAAAAATAATAAAAAATAGTTTTAGGTTTAACCTTCACACTAGATAGATAGATAGATAGATAGATAGATAGATAGATAGATAGATAGATAGATAGATAGATACAGGAGCACAGGACACTAACATAAGTGTAAAATGAAACAGTTTTGTATTATAAAGCAAAATGTTATTTTAAGAATTCTGGGGTATATATTTTAAAATGGTGGTTCAAATGGAGCATAATCTTAACATTATAGCCAAGTGTTTAAGTTGTGTAGCTACACAGGGAGTCTCAAAACTGACAACTTGCATATTACTTGCAAGAAAGTGAAAAAGAAATACAAATTCTGTTTTTAGATGTTGCTCGTTTGTCTGTTTAAACCAGTACATCCCGGGGGGAGCGAGGTGCCTAGAGGCATGAGGGGCTTCCAAAGGAATATGGCAGCAGGACATAAGTGTACCTGTACTGCTGTAATGCTTGAATGATAACAAGCCTCCAGTCACTAGGTGGCAGCAACTCATACAGTGGTTTGTACAGATAAAAATATACATGTTATCAGGTTCTCAGTAGTATTTTATTTTGTAGGGGTGTGGGTCGGATGGGGGGGTGGTGTGAAAACATTTCTGTCCCTAAGGGGGGGCATGACAGAAAATAGTTGAGAACCGCTGGTTTAAAACATGTCAGCCTGAGTCCGGTGACAGAATAAGCCACATGTACCATGTCAGGCATTGTTGTGAAGCCTTCATAGCAGACTGTGCTGAGGCTCAAGGCAAGTTTAAGATTAAGAACAAAGTCTTGTTGGGTTTTCCCTGTTTTCTGACTCAGCATTCCCATAACAAGCATTTACACGCAACGTAGAAGATTTATAGGCCACATATTTGAACATGAGCGGGTGGTTAAAACAGGGTCACATTATCAGACTTTATAGGAATAACAAAACGATGTGCACTCAAGCTGCTTCAAGTTAAATAAAACACTTAATAATCTCTTTTTTTTTAAATAAAGCATTCTGATTACCTTTGATCAAAGGTATCGCAACCACCTAGAGTATTATGGCGTTAAAGGAAGGCAGCAGCAAAAAAGGTCAGATTAAATGAGGAGGCACAACAACAACAATAATTACTTATTGTTATGCTGAAGAACTTGATTGTATTTTTAGAGATGATTTACAACAGGGTAATCTTGCAAACATTATCATTTTTGATATTAAAGCGTAATATGATGTCAGAGGCATCATTTGCCATCGCTATACATGAAGATAAGATTATCATCTGTCTTCTATACAGGTAAAATATTTGAGGACCGGTCGGTGGGTATCAGCCGAAACAACGCCCACTAAGCTGCTAATACTGTCTATTTATTATATATATATATTTGAAATATTCAAAGTTCCAAAACCATTCCATAACTACCGTATTGTTTTACCCACTTACACTTGCAGAAGATTACACAAAAAGACAAAGCACACATTTATCTGTATTACACACTTTACTTGAAAGTATCGTCATTCCGTTTAAGAGTTTTGACATTCATCGAACAAAGTCAAGCTCTCCAGTCCACACTGGCTGTGACATTTACATAAAAGCACTTTTAATGTTTAGCAAATGAGTATTAGAAAGAGGACACGATGCTTCATGACAACGGGTTAGTGTTCTTAATTACGGGAGCAAAAACAAAACCAAGTCGTTTGACACTCGTAAAATTCAACTCAGTTTGATATGTCTCTCCTCGGATGCTTTCCTTTCCACTCCACACACTCCAGATTAAAAAAAAACAAACAAAAATCAAATCCCTTCCTTGACGACATGAATTAAATAAATAGAACCTAACACAAGCTAATGAAAGCGACTGACCCAGACTTGTTATGTGACTAACCAGCTACTCAATCAATCACTCAGGAACACATTAACAATGTTGTCTAATCTGAGGTCAGTGGACAAATATACGCCCCTCCCCCCCTCAATTATTCCCCAATTTTCATGCATGCCTTGAAGAGTTATACACCGTGGTTTGGATACAGACAAATATATCTGGTATATGTCCAGTACATGTTCACACACATTTTACAGCATGTTAGTTGGCGACTTGATCCGTTTATGGTCCAGACAAATTGAGCGTAAACGCTGATGCCGGCATGTAGCCGTCGACACCATAGACATCCAACGACATACAACGTACAGCGCTAGCTCTCGACATGGGAGGAAAGTTACGAGACAGTTATAGTATTGAGTCTGTAAAACCCAAAGCAAGACCTCACTTGTTTCGCTTAAGTGCTGCTGCAGGTGTTTGAAGCTTATTAAAGTCAGCGTTTTTTTTTTTTCCTTTTTTAATATTATAACAAAATTTGCGGTTTCTCTCAGGTGTGTCTCATGACCGGGTGTAATGTTGTTTTTCCAGAAGTCAAAAATAGCTTATAAAAATAATTTCTTTTTTTTTTTTAATAACCTGGTGAGTGCACGCTGCTATGGCGGCGTTGCATGTTCGACACCTCTGTATACCCTGGAACCTTCAGTACTGTTCGTTCGTACTCCACATTTGTGATTTACTGTCACGTCGTGGCTGCTTTCCAGCCTCGTCTCTTCCTGTCAGGGCTGATTTACGAGTGGGTTATGTAAGATGCGGGACAGCATTTAAGCAATATTGGCACGCATATCAAAATCTGCCCCATTAAGCCTTATCCAACTCACGGAATTGAGCAGAACATGATGGAAAACGGAAAACAAAAGTAAACATATTGAAGCGTTTGAGCAAAAAAAAAAAAGTAACAAATGCAGAAAGTTGTTCTTAGTCCCTGTCTTTGGCCTTTGCTCTTATTACAGATTGTAGGTGCACATGTATAGCTTTATTTTCTCACACTAAAATAATAGGTTTCTCAACAAGGTAACAGTCTGTCGTTGATGGGGGAACAACTGAAAATCATAGCGAAACAGAGAGAAAAGGGAAAAGCAGGGCACGAATATGATGCGGGAAAAAAAAAAATCCTGTGAATAAAATCTGTGATATGAGTTGAAACTGAGCTAAGTCTGACCCACAAGAAGCTCAGACGCCTGTCTCTCTTTTCGCCAGAGGTAACAGAAGCATCGGGATGGGTGGGAGAGCGTTAGGATGCAGAAACCACACCGGGTGAGGAGCGTCAACACAGGCCATGCAAATGCAGCTCCTCGCCTTCTGAACGCGTGGTTTACAGTCACACATTTAAACCGCATTCCATACAAAAGCTACAGGTAGAGGGGAGGTTGCCCAGTGGTGAGAATGTCCTCACACGGCGAGCCTCTCCGCGGCAGACTAAATGGCATGGTATTTTTACAGGTAGAAAGTCGAGGGCATTATGGCGGTGCATACTGTGTATAGATATTTCAGAATGGGTTTGATTTGTTTTTTTCAGTTTCAGTCCAGACAGCACAGTTAGTGGTTGAGATGGTGTGTGACTTTTTTTTTTTTCTTCCTTGTTTAAAAAAGGCGAGCCTTCTTCTTGAGGTCGTTCTTCTTCCACAGGGCCAGGCGGTCAAACTGATCCAGGGTCATGCCGAAAACCTGACGGAATTCTTCAGGGGATAGGTGTCTCTGGAAATGGAGCACAACAAGAGAATTGTTTAGAGCAGTGGCTCCCTGCAGTGTCCCCTCCAGCTCCCGGTTTGAAATGAAGCTATTGGCAAGCAACTACAGTATTACAGTATTTTCTACAAAACTGCAATTCTTATAGAATAAAGGAATGGTATTGAAAGCGGTGGACTTTCCCCACTGTTGCACATAAAAACAAAAATGAATGAATGAATTAAAAAAAAAGTTGGCTACAGAATGGATGGGTGGATGGATAGATGGATGGATGGATGGATGGATGGATAGATGGATGATGGATGGATGATGGATGGATGATGGATGGATGGATAGATAGATGGATGATGGCTAGATAGATGGAAGAATGGATGGATGGATGGATAGATAGATGGATGGATGGATAGATGGATGGATAGATAGGTGGATGGATGGATGGATGCATGATGGATGGATGATGGATGGATGGATGGATGGATGGATGGATGGATAGATAGATAGATTTCCTGAGCACAAAGTGACCTTTTGACCTGACTTGTTTCCTTAAAACGATCCTTACTTTATTTGTTACTTTTTTCCTTAAAACGATCCTTACTTTATTTTACCGTTATGTTAATGAAGACTCCATCTTAGGAATAACAGCTACAGGAAATCAGTTATTATGGAACATTAAGTCCAATTACACTTCAGTTTTATTAGAACATGCTGGTGGGCTACACTTTCTGTGACCCGGTGGGAATGAAAGTAACACTCCACGACCATTTATAGTTAGGTCTATATAAAAGACCACAACTTAACCAAACGTACTTTGCCCCAACCCTTTTTTTAGCTTGTTTTGGGTTAAGGTCCAGATTCTTGCACAGCAACAGTCCCAGATGATCCAGTTCATACTTATACAGCAAACACTCAACATAATATAAGTCAACCTGTGTTTGAATTTTGCTTTCTTTTTTTAACCTAAGAAGTCGTTCTTTTACTGTAGGTCTGGCTCATTTTTCCCTTTCCCAGCTGCCTCACTCCATAATCCAGTTTTTTTTAAAGACCGCACTGCCACATCATTCTCTGACTCTTTAATGAGCTGTGTTGAGAGGAGAGGAAATAACAGAGCAGCGGAGGAAGATTAGAGCTCACCTCCAGTCTGGTGCGATCTACATCCCTGGGAAGCTTCACTTTCACTCGATGTGTCACAGCCAGCATTTCATAAGGGTAGACCTGGCACAGACAAAGTAAGAATTGAAGGGTCGTAAAAAGGAATGTGACTAAAAAAAATTGTTGAGCCAAGAGCCAGGAATAGTAATAAAAAAAGTTAGACTCTTACCTTGTATTCTGGGAAGGAAAAAAGAAGAGAAAATAATTCATTAATCTGATTCAACAATGACTTTTTTTATTTCAATGCAAATCAATTATATAAAAACAAACAACAAGGTGGAGCCTACATTTGTATCAAAAGCATGACTAGATTGTATAACCGGACCGACAGATAAACTGACTTATTTTACTTAAGACATCAGCGTAAAAAAGATACACTTAAAATCACGTGACGCGACTATTCGGAAAAAAATTTGGAAGCTATCTGTTTTGAAAATGCAAAGTTTTTTAGTTTTTAGACTATAAGTCGCACCTTTTTTTCAACAGTTTTTAGACTTACTGTATTTTCCAGACTATAAGTCGCACCTTTTTTTCAACTTTTGGCTGGGTTTGCGACTTATACTCAGGTGTAACTTATATATTAATATAATTTCGTGTTTGTTATTTTCACACCGAAAGCTGGTAGAGGGCACTCTAGGCTTGTGTACTAGTATCTCCTGTACTAATGAAAAGTTACATGCCGCTCAACAGCACCGGTACAAAATACTCCGGAGCGACTTAGATATGTTTTTTTTTTCTTCTTCGTTATGCTTTATTCGGGTGGTGCGACTTATACTCCAGTGCGAAAAATACAGTAATTAGGACTAAACTGAGTTACAACTTAGAGCTGCTTTTATTGTTAAATATAATTAAAATAATGTCCTTATTTTCGATAAGTGGTTATTTTTTCATCTGCCTGTAGGCAGCATCCTTCCTCACTTCCTGTGCATATACAATTTTTTATTGTGAAAATAATAGAGCTCTATTAGAAATCATGTAATTTTACAACTGTTGTTCTTCGGAGACCTATCAGAATCTTTATCAGATTCTTCTACCTTCGTCACCTTGTGTGTCCATGTAGTTCTTGGAATTTATTATTAAAGTCAGTATGGGTGTTTTGTTCCAGATCTCAAAATCCAGAGGAACTAAAAAAAAAAAAAAACCCAACTGACCGCTAACGTAAGCCAGAGCAAAAAAAGAAAAATAATCCTCCCTCACCTCTCATGCCTCCCCAGCTGTGGGAGTCTGGGTCCACTTCATCCTCTACCATCTCAGCCGCCTGCAGGGATACACACACATAAACAGAGACACAGTTTTGGATTTTCTCTGTTTCATGATGCCAAAAATGCTGCTGGTCTTTATCACGGGCTTTAGACATTTGTTGCTTTTGTACTTGGTTTGCTCACATTTTTTAATGGTGAGAGTAAGGAAGTGAGGGTGATGTATTTTCAAATGAGCTTACATCACCGACCTTGGAGGGACTAAAAGGCTGGAAGCAAGGAAACAATTATGCCAGAAATTTTTAATTTGTCCACTTCAAAAGAATCATTGGAAACAGCTTTTCGGTTTTAGTCATCGGGTCCAACTGAAGTGACTGACTGGCCGTCAGTCTTCTAAAATTATTGCTGTGACCACTGCTCCTGCTTATCCAGCAATGATGAACAACATGTTGTTGATGGATATGTATGGATTAAAATAAAAAAGTTAAAACAATTAAAAGCTCTTAAAATCTACCAATCTTTACCACAAATAAACATAAATGCCTTGATTTCATATCAGCAAAACGCGCATTAATAAGATCGGGTTGGGCTTAGTTCTGGCAACAAAAGCTAAAAAATGTTAATTTGTGTAAAGTACTCGGTCAACTGTTTTGTTCGGCAGCATTGCTCCAACCAAAATGAGTAAGAAACATTCGTATTGACCTGACCTTCGTTGGTACATGCTGGTAAAACAGTCTATTTTCAATGCTTTCAGCTAATATGCATGTGAACACATGTTCTCTACTACAAAAGGTCTATTCATAAATGACTAGTTATGTAGATCCACAACAAATGCTAACATTTGGCACATGCACACGGATTTCACTATTAACTCCCGTAATTTACGAGCTATTGAGCGCACATATATGCCACAGAAAGATTTTTTTTCACTTTTAGTTAAATAAATGCTTTTTATTAACAGTGTCTGTAACACGGCTGGTTACACGTTAGCTCTTTCCTGCTTTGGCGCCGACATACGCATACAGACAGACATACGCTACTAGTATAACACACAGTAGCCTACCAGAAATGTCATTGATCGCTAGTGGTATGAACATAGCTAGCCTTGTTTAGCAGCATTATTGTTTAAGCCACAGAGTTCAAACCATGTAAAAAAAGCAGCGGCTTACAGTCCGAAAATTACGGTATTAAAAATGTAAATCCAATCACTACCATGTGCGTCTCCAAGAGAGGCAACATCTGCAAAATACCTGACTGTTACAAACAACAATTGGCAAAAATTACTTGTTTTTAAGAGACATAAAGTAGTCATAAAGTAAAATAAAGCAGTCATCTCCAGTTGCATTAGGAGCAATATTGTATTTGAGCTGTGGTTTACCATTTATTTAAATGTGGCCAAATTATTATTATCATTATTATTATTATCTGTACATATTTTTTCCATGAAGAAATGTCGCACGTTATCCGTGTTTTAAAGATTTTTGTTTGATCAAAAACCACTTGATAAGCAGTGATAGAATTGTAATAAAAATATAATTTTACCAGTGTATTCCTATCTTAAAGTAAAAATGTTTTAATTAATTGATTAATTAAATACATTAATTAATTAAAAACGAATACATTGTTGGGTGATGAAGTACTTCTTAAAATCTGTACAGACACTCAAATATAAAAATGAATTAAAAAAAAACTTTTTTGTCTAACACTAATATTTGATGTTTATTTTGGAATCCAGCTGCAGGACAGACAGACAGGATGATTCCACGAGCCGGATACGGCCTGCGGGCTCCCAGTTGATGATCGCTGCTGTACGGATTTGTGTTTTATTCTTTGGGAAAACATACGAAAAACACATTGAATCCCCCCTGTCAACAAGGGTAACCTGAAATTGTCCACAAGTGAACAAGAGTAAAGTATAATTTAAACTGGTCATGGCTCCTGAGCTTTCATTTCCTCCTCCGTTCTGTTTTCTCTGCCTGTCCACCATCCGTCAACAGTCTCAGAGGGAGAGCAGCAATATCAGGACAGGGGATGATAAACTAAATATCCCCAGCGTCTGTTTAATAAACCGGGGCCTGTCTGCATTCAGCGAATCGTACAGGCTGACCTCTGAGTAATCTGATACCAAAGCTGTGAGAGAAGGAAAGAAAACCTCGGGGAGTTTGATTTCTAAACTGGGAAGCTGTTAAATCTAAACGGTTTAGATTTACAGCGTTGATAGCTCAGAGAAGGAAGTCATGCGCTGGTGGTGATGATTTGTGTGAGCAACCTCAGCATTGTTGAGACGGCGCCACCAAGTGCTCTTAAAGGCATCAGCTACTTCGTGCTTTCAACACCCGACGTCTCTATCTTAACGCCAAAATCAAGTGCAAGATTAAGGTTCTTAAACCGCTTGTAGACTTTTCCTAGACAATTCCTATTTTGCCTTCAACAATCTCAACAGTTTGAACTCTAGTTAAGCATGTCCAAAATTTAGTGATGTTGACAGCTGCTCTTAAAGTAGCAGATTTACTGAAGATTGCGTCCGTCTGCCCGTTTTCTCTTTTTAATCATTTTTAGCAAATAATCATGACATATTTGGATAAAAATGTTACATCTCAGAGAACTATTAATCAAAAGTACATAGCAGTAATGCTACTCAAAAATGCCTTAAAAACTCAAGGATGAAAAAGGTGCTTAGTGGCAATTAGGAGCATTAGCTTAGTTTACCCAGGCTTGGGATTTAATTGTAGATAATAACATTTCAAATTATATTTTTGTGTTACTATTCGAAGCAATTTTATAACACCAAAGGGTATAACGCCAATCCAGAAGCAAAACCATATTTTTGGTATGTATATTTCTTCAATTAGTTGCTAGCTGCTAGCACAGGTTTGGGCGAACTACGGCCCGGGGGCCGGCTTTTTAATCCGGACCACCAAACGTGTCTAAATTTCTAATATCATTATAGTTCTGCCTTTTCCCTGCAATTCCCGCATTACCCTATAGATGGCGTATAAAAGGCTTAAAGCATTTTAGCATTTTAGCCTTATGACTTTTTCTATCTGCTCCTGACCCGGCCCACTGTCAAATTTTAGGACCCATTGTGGCGCGCCAGTCAAAAAGTTTGCCCACGCCTGTGCTAGCACCTATTATAAAAAGTAAAGTGCCACTGCTAACACCAAATGTACCACTTGTCATAAAAGTATTTGCCACAGTACCATGATAATATTATGTTCACAGCACACCCTACAGGAAAGAAAGAGTTACTGAAAATGTCCCTTTAATTTTCCCTTAAACATGTATTGCTGTAACGTAAAAATCAGTCATAACTACAGATAGATGAGAAAATGACTAAGCAATATGAAAAAAAAACCAATCTAAATAGTATTTCCAAACCAAGCTTTAGTTATACAGGGTTTACAACACCCTCGACCTTTGGCGTTTCGTGCTTATGTCGCCATCTTTAATAGATTGATTAAAAAAGTCTTGTTCCATCATTCTGACGTACAAAAAACACCGGAACTAGTTGGTCAGCAGAGTGGATGAAAAAGTCGTCAAACCTTTAAAAGAGCTTCACATTGAACACGGCTTTGTTTACATTTGCTGGTTCTACTCCATACATTGGATTGCACTACATTTACTTTCTTATGTTTGTGTTGGTCGTTTTTTTTGGGGGGGGGACTTTTTACCCTTCATTATGGTAAGTCAGACTCTTCTGATGTTTTTGTCCAAGCCTAACCCTAACCCTAGATTATGTTACCACTGTGTTAATATAGGTGAGTGACATACAGTAGGTACTTATGTACAGTATGTGAGTCAACTTGCGATGAAAATAGAGCTACGTTGTGCTGTAGGAAAGGAATTCCGACGTAAGTCGAGGAACCCCTGTATATATGATTTTTATAATACATACATTATAAAAAAATTTGGTTTTTGTAAATAACTGACTTTACCATTCAGTTGCTCACCTTGTAAATGCCATTCCTTCCATATCCTGGTAAAGACGCTGACTTATTGTAAGGGAAATCTATAAAAAAAAAATTAAAAAAAATTCTTGTTTATTGCTTGACATTTAAGATGACGTCAGTAATGACAGACGGGACTGAACAAAATGTTAGTAAGGCTACTTACTCGGCTGTGAGGTATCAGTGGGCAGACTGCAAGTGGACTTACGTGGATCCAGATCTTCTGAACCCATCTGTCCATCAATCTCACTCTTCAAGATCATCCAACTTGTCCTCTACAGAGGGAGAGACAATCGCCGAGAGAGAGAGAGAAATGGGAAGGAAGGATGGATAATGGCAAAGTGTCAGTGATGGCATTAGTAAATGGACGTGAGCTTTTTGTAAAGTTGAAGAAAATGAATTGAAAGAAGACAAACGTGGACGGACACACAAAGACATTGACCCACCTTACTATCCTCCCCTTCCTGCCATGATGTTCTAGAAGCTGTAAAACATGTCACATGTTACATGACGCCACATTTAGAGAGCCGGAGATCCTCCATCGTTTATCTCCATTTAACTACACCACTAGTGTAAATGCAAAGTACACCGTCGCTGGACCACAACGTCATCAGTTGCAGACAGCATACAGTGTGCAAGTCTATGGCAAAGTGACGGATTCGTCACTAGGTTTGTTTTCAATCCATGCTCTTTGTTACAGGGTTTAATCTTTTTTTTTTTTTGATTCAATTTAGATATAATTGTGAAAACTGGTCAAAAAGGGAAAGTTAATGTTAATAGTCTTCAGGAAACCCTACTTGAAATAGGCAAAAACTTCAAGTTTGAGTTCACTTTACACGGTTTGAAGGTACTGTATATAAGTTTGGGATAAATCATTTCTTGGGAAGGTAGAAACACAGAGTTCTACATTTGTCCGATGAACACAGTCAACACACCGACAGCAGCTCATGCCATATGCAGCTGATCTGTTCGATAAAAAAAAAAAAAGAATATCCCCCTGTGTGATGGAAGTGAGAGCAGGCTCGTCGTCTCCTACACTAGTGTTTGGAGTGATGTGAATGTAGAGCTAGAGGAAAACTGCTGCGGAACTGTTATGGTGCACAACACGATGGTTAGGGGGCGGAGAGTCTTGTGAAGTTCACAACACTGACGCTAACTTACAACGTTTTTCACACACCCGACCACTCACAGTGTACACAAAAGTCACAGCATCACAACAAAAAACAATCAATGGAGCTGGCGAGATGAGTGCAGACATGCAAGTACAGGGTGAGCAACTAACCACCCGGAGGGTGGCGTTTGACTTAATTATACCGTCACAAATGTGTGGCATTATTAATAAAACTATATCTGTTGATAGGCAAATAATATTTAAAGTCTTGGACATTTTCATGATGTTACCTCAAGACCATGACCAGAGAGCAAGTACGGCTATACTGAGCTGAAGATAACAAATAATACTAATTAAGATGTCAAAAACAAAAGAAATTGTACCTATTTCTGCCTAGGCAGGCAGCTTCTTGTATGGCTAGACCGGGTGTGGGCAAACTTTTTGAGTTGCGGGCCATAATTGGTCTTAAATTGAACAGAGGGCTGGGTCAGAGAGATGGAGCGTCCATGTGAACTAAGATAAATTACACGTAAAAGTCTTGCATTAATGTATATTGCTAAATGCTATTAGGGGAAACGTGGGCATTGCAGGGAAAAGGCAGATGTATAATGGTAATATCAATCAATTATATAATTTGGAGAAGTTTGGCGGGCCGGATTAAATACCTGAATGGGCCGCATTCAGACCCCGGGCCGTAGTTTGCCCATGCTTGGGTTAGACTCTATTACATGGGCAGTGTTTATCTATGTATTGTGGCTAATTTCTCTCGCTTGCTTAAAGCTATTTCGCCTAACTTTAGCAATTTCACTTGACATAAATGTAGCTACCTTTTGAAGCATCATCAAGCTATCACTGATCTAATTCCTGACATTTGTCTGTCAACTAAATAATATTTAACAATAATAACTCTACAGGGAGGGTTATTTTAAATACCCTACCTTGAGTATTTCAAGGTTGAATTTAAATATTTTGAGCACATTTTTTCCCCAACCACAGACCATGACTGTGATCAGCTGCATTTGAGCACCCCAAAAGATTTCCTTAACATTTAATGACCTCAACTGCAATTGTCTGCTAGTTTAAATTGACTCACAATTGAATTACTCAGTAATCCTGACCAGTTTAGTTGAACGCCGTGCTTATATACTTGCAGGAATTGAAGAAAGACACATTTAAAGATTTTTTTATCAGCTCTGGGTCTCTCTATTTTTTTTTTTAAGTTTTTATTGCCATCTGCTGCCACCTTGTGGAAGAGAACTTAATTGTTCAGCCTGTCAATGTCGCATTGAAAAACAAATGATTGTCTTGCGTTTTTCAGGGTTTCAATGCAGCTCTATTCGAAAACGGCAGCACTGGTTTTGAAAAGAATCTCTGAAAACGGTCAAATGTAGCATCATGGATTTCCATTTTTTTGGTAATCTCATACTTATTGAACAACAGTAGCCTAAATTATTGGTCGTAACAGATTACAAAATGGGTGAAATATTTTTACACCAGTCCATGTAGTGAATGTCCATGGAGGTTTCTAGATGACAGGCCTTAGGGAAAAGAAAGGTGACCTTAGTAAAACTTTAGGTAAAACAGGTGACTGACGGGCGACATGCAGCACATCGTGCAGAGACTAGACCAGTACTATGTACTAGGTGTTAAAAAGACGTTGGACTGTACCATGCTGTTTGTAGATGGGGGGTTTTCTATAGATATTATCTTTGACCAAAGTCTCTGGAGATGAGGTCAGATGTTCAGATAGGAAAATGGAAGAAGCCAACATGGAAGGGAGAGAAAAGAAGAAAGAGAGAATGGAGAAAAAGAAGCATGAGTTAGCAGTTATTGCGCGATGAGATATTTGGAAAAGGGCCAAAAAAAGGGAGCGCAGAAGAGCCGTAGAGAACATCTGTCATTTGTATTATAGCACATCAGAAACATCAGCACGTTTCATTCATGCGAAAACCTTCAGTATAAATCAACGTAATGACACGTTGCAGTTTACTTGGTACGAAACAAAATAAAACAAAACAAGTACAAAGGAAAAAAAAATCAGAAATAACTCACGATCTGCATGCACAAAACTGTTTGTTTAGACATATTAATAAGAAGATTTAATGATTAAAGTAAATACGAAAAAATGAAGTGTCTTTGAAATAAAAATTAAAGTCGAACAGTATTGAATCGTTTTACCTCCTTTATGTCAAAATCAGTTTCAATGTGTTTGTGTTTAAACATGGCTAACATTCTTAGGATTCATTGGAAAATTTACCACTGAAATAAAACCTACATGTAAACAGCCTTTTTTTTTTTAAACACTGATGTACTTCCATGAAATTCAATGCCGTATATGATTAGTTTTGTGTCGTAGCATTTTGCACCTATTTATGTCACACAGATCTACGCATCTAGGTATTTCTCATCATTTCATCGTATGTTACATCACGTTAGCAACCATATTTTGAGCGAAGGGTGTCTACCTTATGCTGGTTCTCAACAGAAGAGGCATGGCTTCGCAGTGAATTACCACTTTAGCGGGGCCATTGAAGTTATTGTGAAATGCATAAGTCCGAACCAAGAGTTGTTGCGTTAACAACACTGACAGATTTAAAAGGCCACAGGAGATTCCTTAAGATTTTGAGTGTGTGTTTTGTCCCTCCTGAAGCTGATCTAATCCCTCATCAGGATCCAGACCAGACCTCTCACACGGACGCGTAGGAACAACTGTCACATATTTAACCACAGGAGAAGCGTGACGCACAATAAAGCAACACATATGGGTCATTTCTCCAGCTTGTTTCAGTGCCTGCCAGCATCTGAAACAATGTCCATATAAAAGCAATAAAGGAGGATGACTATGAAAGCCATTAAGTGGATAATCGCTGGCTTTTTTTTTTTTTTTTTCCACCTCGCTCCAATTCCAGGTTTTTTTGTTCCCGCTGTGTGACCAACAGTGTAACTCTCGATGGGAACAACATGTTGGATCAAATGGTAATTCTTCAGTAAGAGGCATGAGGTGAAGTGAAGTGATGAGGGATTCACAGTTAAGCCTCAACTCCCGTCCAAGAGGATTTAAAACGTCTACCGTAAATGACCGATCTCGTGTCGGATCCCTGCTGTTCGGAAAAATGTTTTTTCTTGAAATTAGCAAACAGGAATTCGCAAGAAAAAAAAAAACAACTCTTTTTGTGCTACGAAAGTACAACAACTTCGGGCCTCGTGCAAGCAGTGCTAATAAAACTGTTCTCAGGGCTGAAAAACCACTCAATTACTTTTTGCATCACATGCAAATGATGTGAAAGTGGCAAATTAACTCACCAATAGTGTTTAAAATAATCATTGCAGCACATACTTTACACAGCGCTGCCTTGTTATTTCACTGCAATTTTGCACCATCAAAGAACCAGATGATGAGAAATTCCACTGGGCAAAAAAAGGCACTCCCAATGCAGTGGCATTATGAGAAAATTTTAAATAAATTCCCTGGTGGTGAGCTGCGACTATATTGTTGTAAATGACTTCTATCTGGGTTTCCACCACAGATATTTACAGACTGCTTTGCTTTACTTGTTTCTCCGTCTTCTTCTACCTCATTACTACAACTACTCACCACAAAGAAAAACTACTTTTGTAAAATATAGTTCAGTAAACTGTGTGACATTTTGTCATGTAACATTTTGACAATGCCATGCTCAGTTACAGCCAAATCATTTTAGTTTTGACCAGCGTTTATCTGCAGTTTAGCGATGTGTTTGTGTTTAAATATGACTTATAATATAACATTCTTAGGATACATTGGAAAATTTACCACTGAAATAAAACAAAAATGTTTGCACCTACATGTAAACAGCCTTTTTTTTAAATCACTGTACTTCCATGAAATTCAATGCGGTATATGATTAGTTTTGTGTCGTAACTAGTTTTGTGTCGTAGCTTTTTGCACCTATTTACGTCACACAGATCTACGCATCTAGGTATTTCTCATCATTTCATCGTATGTTACATCATGTTAGCAACCATATTTTGAGCGAAGGGTGTCTACCTTATGCTGGTTCTCAACAGAAGAGGCATGGCTTCGCAGTGAATTACCACTTTAGCGGGGCCATTGAAGTTATTGTGAAATGCATAAGTCCGAACCAAGAGTTGTTGCGTTAACAACACTGACAGATTTAAAAGGCCACAGGAGATTCCTTAAGATTTTGAGTGTGTGTTTTGTTCCTCCTGAAGCTGATCTAATCCCTCATCAGGATCCAGACCAGACCTCTCACACGGACGCGTAGGAACAACTGTCACATATTTAACCACAGGAGAAGCGTGACGCACAATAAAGCAACACATATGGGTCATTTCTCCAGCTTGTTTCAGTGCCTGCCAGCATCTGAAACAATGTCCATATAAAAGCAATAAAGGAGGATGACTATGAAAGCCATTAAGTGGATAATCGCTGGCTTTTTTTTTTTTTTTTCCACCTCGCTCCAATTCCAGGTTTTTTTGTTCCCGCTGTGTGACCAACAGTGTAACTCTCGATGGGAACAACATGTTGGATCAAATGGTAATTCTTCAGTAAGAGGCATGAGGTGAAGTGAAGTGATGAGGGATTCACAGTTAAGCCTCAACTCCCGTCCAAGAGGATTTAAAACGTCTACCGTAAATGACCGATCTCGTGTCGGATCCCTGCTGTTCGGAAAAATGTTTTTTCTTGAAATTAGCAAACAGGAATTCGCAAGAAAAAAAAAAACAACTCTTTTTGTGCTACGAAAGTACAACAACTTCGGGCCTCGTGCAAGCAGTGCTAATAAAACTGTTCTCAGGGCTGAAAAACCACTCAATTACTTTTTGCATCACATGCAAATGATGTGAAAGTGGCAAATTAACTCACCAATAGTGTTTAAAATAATCATTGCAGCACATACTTTACACAGCGCTGCCTTGTTATTTCACTGCAATTTTGCACCATCAAAGAACCAGATGATGAGAAATTCCACTGGGCAAAAAAAGGCACTCCCAATGCAGTGGCATTATGAGAAAATTTTAAATAAATTCCCTGGTGGTGAGCTGCGACTATATTGTTGTAAATGACTTCTATCTGGGTTTCCACCACAGATATTTACAGACTGCTTTGCTTTACTTGTTTCTCCGTCTTCTTCTACCTCATTACTACAACTACTCACCACAAAGAAAAACTACTTTTGTAAAATATAGTTCAGTAAACTGTGTGACATTTTGTCATGTAACATTTTGACAATGCCATGCTCAGTGGTAGCCAAATAATTTTAGCTTTGACCAGCGTTTATCTGCAGTTTAGCTACCAGTCGTCAGGTAGCTATCGTGTATGGATGAGTCATGGCATGGCGCTGCAGTGCACGGCCGTAGCTACATTTAGCAGCATTGATAGATGCTAAGATTCCACATTCATTTTCATGTGTAAATATTCTTGAACGAGGCCTTAGGTGGAGTATTTCCTTATGTAAAAAGAAATTCACATTTGGTCAAACATCGTGGATCTGACCTGTAAAAATAAATAACCATTTTGTAAAAGCAGATTTCAGTATAGGAAACTGTTGCAGGAACCTAGATATGAAGTGTTAGCAAATGTGTGTGTAGGGTAAACTAGCTTTGAGTCAGTATCAAAGGCCTTTTCATACCTCCTATGTACCATGTTCATTATTTTCTACATTGTTTTCTCCTTAATACTTACACTATTTAAAACATTTGCTGATTCATCATAGTATTTTAAATGGAAACCAGTTTGTAGCATCATGATCTTGGTTGGATCACATGGTTGACCCATGCACCTTACATAGACATGGAAAGGATGAAATTGCCTCATAAAACCATTTTTACCTGCATTTAAATCAAAACTGCTGTGTGATTTTTTTTTGAACGTTGAAAGGTTTAGGAAAAAAAAAAGGAAAAAAATGTCTGAGTTGCGAGCCAAGCGCTGCCGTACCTGGTATGTGGAAATGCCGAGGAACAGGCATGTATGTAGAAGAAGAGGAAGGGGATTTGCCGTCAGAATAAGTGGATAAACTGGGGGTGCTCCGACCACTTTCGCTACCTCCATTTGGGCACGGAGGTGGGGAGGCGTTGGATATGGAAGGCAAAAAAGGGGGGTAAGGGTGGGGAGGAAAACAAAGGGCAAAAGGGGAGCAAAAAAAAAGCAGCATTAAGGTCAGCATAAGCTCATGATGAAGCTAGAATAAAACAATGATTTAGGTGACCTAATAACCCAGCCATTTATCTGTGTAGCTATAGATATTTTATCTTTGCAAGACTTTTGATCTTCCTACAGCCAAGAAACAAAACTAAAATTATTCCACTGAATGAACAAAAGTCGATTTGTGTCCTCCTTGATCTTAGTTCAGCTACTGAATCCTTCAGCTACGAGACGCTAAACTGTTAGCATACACTTCAGAAATAATAAAAAACAAAACAAATGCCATTTTGGTGTAGAGCAGTCACTAACTATTAGACCGAAAATAATTATTAATTAGGCCAGACACTCTAAATAAAATGACATTTTTGTCTAACATTGTGTCTTTTTTGTCTAACATCAACTGCCGTGGGCCGGCAGTTGATGTTCGCTGGTTTAGAGCTTATGGGAACAGGTTAAAATAATTAGTGATAAATAATAATAGGCGTGGCTAAAATTGATTTGTTCACTAGAGTTGAAAATGGGTAGAAATGCTGCTAGAAAGATATTTGAGACTTGCACCGAAGACTAAACGCATGTAAAATGATAACGGAGAATAACGCTACGTTTGAGCTCAGTTACATAATTTTCTGAAAACCAATCGGTCTCAATTGCCAGTTACTGTAACAGTTTTTTTCTGTAGAGATTTATTTTACAGACTTGTAATTGAATTAGAAGAATAAAAGATAATGGAAAATAAGGCTGAAGGTGACTGTACGTCTTAATGACAGCTGGATGGTCCAATCAGATCCTGTCATTGTCATTTTGTCCCTGCATGTGCAAAGTTACGATTTTTTAGTTTCATGTTTTAAACATCATTATAGCCCAAAAGCACAAATTATATTTTGGAGTTTCTTTAATTCTAGCTAAGAGGAAAGGCTAGGCTAGGCTAGGCTAATGACCTAGCATTACATCATAGCTAACCAATTTAACAAAATATAAAAGTGGACAATCAAACTTTATATAAAATTATTTTTTTTATATTTATATATTTTTTAAACTTTGAATCAAATAAGCTGTTATTTCAATGATTTGTTTACCGTTTCTTGGTGTTAAAAACAGCTAAGCCATTAGCTTGTTGTTGCACCTGTTTAGCACCAAAGCAATGTTGCAACTGAGGAGGAAGACTGGGTGATGCAGTCACTGACACTTGTCAGTCTCAGCCCTGGGCACGGAATTAATGGCACTGTACATCCAGAGCTTTGTGGTAGGCATTAAGGCAGACACTGAGTGTGTGTGTGTGTGTGTGTGTGTGTTCGTGGCTGATTGAACACACACTTTTCTATCACCAAATAAAGAGGAGCCCTGATCTGAGATCTGGATGTACGTGGGTGAGATCACTCACACACACAGGGCACAGCTGTTACTGCTGAGCTGAGTGACCTCCTCCACACACAATACCACTTGAACATGCGCACACATGCTTGGAAACACACACACACACACACACACACCAGAGTACAGTTAGTGCGTGTCCAAATGTGAGGTCGATCCTGTGTACAAACATCTGCGGCCAAGAAAATCTATGTGTGTAAACACGCTGCGTGTTCGACAAAAAGGTGGGGACCGACTCATTAATCATAATGTGACAGTTCAGGGTCATCAACAATTAATCACGAGAGATATTTATTATTTTCGGGCATGTCTCCCTTAGTCATAGTCATGCTGATTAGGCCACATGACAACACTTCTATCAGTGATGGTTTCATTCAAGGCTGTTGAAGGAGAAAACAAAACCTCTTTTCACGACATGCAAGTAAGTAATCACCAAGCCAAGAGAGCGCCGTGTTGCATGCAACTGGAAACCGGACCCAAAATTACAGCTCGCCCCGCTCGGGTTCTTTCATTCCCCTGGTTCCCCCCTCCTCTCTTTCATCTTCACCACTAGTGCACTCCCCCCAGCCTCTCCACACAGTCATGGTGAAACCACCAAAACCCCGCGCCGCGTGTTAGTGATTTTCTGAGCCCATGTTTGAGTGGAAGCTCATGCTGCTTCCCTCTGGAACCTCCTCCTTTTAATCATTGCCTTTCCAGAGTCCAAGCACGCATATGTCGAAGAAAATCTGACGCAAGGGTTCTGTTTAGAAGTTTGGATGTTGACCTCAAAAGACTAGAAGGATGCAGAAAAATAAAACAAAGATCAAGTCTTTTAACACCATCTACGTTTCACTTTTGCTAGCTAAAAGCGAGCAGTGAAGAGCCTGAGATAGTAAAAAAAAAAGTCTGCAGAGGACTGCAGTAACAGTTAGTGACTTATCCTTGTCCTGAAAAGACACATCAATAAGAGGATTACAAAAGCCCTAAAAAGACTTGACAACTAAACTTTACTGTGCACAAAAGATAAAGTTATGTGTCAGGAAAAATCTTAATATCGCTAGCTGTAAATAGCATTTGGAAATTGCAAATTCTGATCATTTCTAGACCTGATGCAGAAGCACTTCTCTAATAATTCTGGGCAAAACACCAATGTAATCAGACGAACAATCAAGTCAAGAATCTACATAAGCAGGCGGCGGAAACCAAGTGTTTTCTTCATCATTTCAAATATGTAAGCATACTTAACGTACCAGAGTAGGACTACATCAAGATAACCATGCACAACAACAATATTTACAGACACAATCAAACAGAGCAGGCAGGATGATAAAACTTTGTGGTCCTAGGCATTGTACTCTGATGCACACCAAGAAACCTGACAACACCACAATACCGGACATCAACATAACAAAACCTGCTACTGACTCATTTAAGGATGGAAAACACAAAAAAAAAAGAGAATGACTCTCAGAGTTTTTACCGTCGGGAGGAGGTAAACTGAGATGAAGGGCTGTCCTAGGTTTGGGATCAGGAGATGGGTCCTGTTTAAACCCTGATGGTGAGGAAGACCGGGGTAATGGCAGGAGAGATGAAGCAAAGGGAGGAGGCTGGATAAGCCTTTAGCTAAATGTCACATTATCTGGGTGAGTCTACCATTGTTTTGTGATGTTAGTGGTAGCATTAGCAGGTTTGATATCCTCCAAAACCAGCTCAGTACTGGCCAGGCCATGTTTAGTCAGTGACAAACCAAGAGACAAACAAAAAATCTGTGAGATTTTAGAACACATGGTCAATATTATTCAACTCATGCCAAATATTTTCTATTTCAAAAGTGTACCACAGCACTCCATTCTGAAGGCCTTCTGATCTAGATCCAATACAGACAGGACTTTGCTGCCAAAGGTCAATGTGTAAGGTAACCTCTGTCTCCTACCAAACACAGCATTTGACTGTTTTTCTATTAGAGCAGCAACAATCATGTCAAACACTGCATTTAACTGTTTTTCTATTAGAGCAGCAACAATTTGACAAAGTCTTTCCTCTGTATTGGACCAGGTCTCTTTGGTCTTCGTGACCCTTTACCTCTGAAATAAGGGATGTAGTTGTGCTGCTGCAGCATGGCCAGCGTGGTGGGGTTCAGGTGTAATGACAAGCCTGCACTGCCACCTGCTGGTATGGGTGAGTACTTGCCAGTACCAACACCACCACCTGCGCTACCTTCAGCCCCACCAGAATTGTGCACAGGGAGAGGGAGGGAGGAGTCCTTTGTCCAGGTGGATGGACACTTATTGGCACCCATGTTTGGGGGCAAAGGAAGGGAACTGGAGTCACGGGCCTGGTTGCTGTATTTAGGGGCATGGTATTGCTCTGGACCTGAAGGTCCAATGACATGACAGGAAACATCTCATGTTACTAAAATGTATGTTTTTAAAGACTGTATGTATCCATTTATCTACTGGAAGACAAAATCACGTTGTACAGGAACACAATGACACTAAAGACAATTTTCCTATTTTTTGACTCAACACTATATTTTTATGGTTAATTTAACATCTCGCAATAAAAATTACTAATTCAATTAATAATAATTAATAATTACTAATTATTAATCCAAGTATATATAGGTTTGCTATGGCTACTAGTACAATGCAAAAACATTCAACATTTGAAAATGCATAGGTACATTAAAACGATTTTACTACAAATTCAAATTTTTTTATGACTTTGAAGGAAATTAACACCTGCAGCACATTCCAAAAACTGGATCTATTGGATTTTTGTGGGTATAATTTTGTAAGATGGTCAGACAGACAGCCTCAAATAATTAGCCCTCTGGCTCTCTCCCAGTTTTTTTGGAATGTGTTGCAAGTATTTAATCAGTAGAAATAATAAGTTAGTCAAAAAGAAACGAAAAAGAATTAAAAGGAAAACTTTCAAACAATAACATTGGAGTTGAAACCGTACAGATTTAGAGACTGATTTATGGCCTTATGTGTGCTTTGCATATAATACTAAATTTTCATTATAGCTTAAATTAGCGGTTCCCAAAGTGGGGGGCGGACCCCTGTGGGGGTCGTAGTTAAAAAGTTATTAATTTAAGTTTTAATATTTCATTGATTTGAATAATAAGAACATCTGTTTTTTATATATATATAACAGTGTTTTAGATAAAGTCTAGCGGAGTTTTGAAGCAATAGCTAGGAGTTAGAGGGTTGACAACAGTCTTCAAATGGGCGTGCTGCACAATGGGTTTTGGAAACACTGGCTTAAATGTTTAACTGTCCAAATGGTGATGTTTATGACTGTGACTAGTAAGAAATGACCTGCTTTAACCAAGTTACTATTTTATCAGAAAAACATTATAAGAAGTAAGAAGTTGTAGAGACTTTGATAAGCAAAAAGAAAGTTAATCATATTCTGCTTTTGAAAATGGTTGACTTTATAATGTCTTCCTAAAATAAATTATGTATTATATACATTGTCCAATACCTGGTCGGCTGTAGTTAACGGGGGAACGGCATGGGGTGTAACGTCCATAGCCGCCCAAGGAGCTGTTGGAGCTCGGGCTGGAAGGTCTCCTCTGACGGGGTGACTTCTCTCCGTCGCCCTGGATATGAGAATAAAAACAAAAACACATTCATTATCTAAGGGAAATTAATGCATTATTTTCCAAAGAAACTTCATGTTGCACAAGGAACACGACAGATCACAGAAATCAACAAACCACACATGGAAATATTTAATTTCTTGTTGTAATGTTCCAATTAGAGTCCACAAAGCAGTGAATGAAAAAATATCAGAGATACAATTTGACCATTTCAACCAGATGAAGCAAGAACTGAGTCAAAACATAAAAACAACAAAATAACAAAGTAATTGTGTTTACTGTAATTTCCGGACTATTAAGCAGACTAGAATATAAGCCACACCCACTAAATTTAAAAAGAAAAATATAATTGTACATATGTAGGCCAGCTGGTTACACGTTAGCTCTTTCCTAACGTCCGGGCCCCGACCGTAGTTGAAATGAACAGGGGAGACTTAGTGATCTACTCCAGGTCTGAAGCTAACATTAGCTCCGGGGCTAACTCCCTTCACTTTGTGCTTGTCCACAGCAGAGGTAAACAGAAACAGTGAAGTTGGGGTCTTTATTATCAGCCACTCCGACCACAACAGAACAGAAACAGAGTTTTAACAGCTCCTGTATAACCAACTCACTCTTCAACATGACAGGGCTCAAACTGCTCTCAACTTTAGCTAATGTTCTCTCTCTCGCTCGCACACCCTCCGCATATATACTCACACAGCCATTCACAGACAGACATATGCTACTAGTATAACACACAGTAGCCTACCAAAAAAGTCATTGATCGCTAGCGGTATGAATTTCATTAGCCTGTAAAAATTCATAAATTAGCCGCATCGTTGTTTAAGCCGCTGAGTGAAAAAAGTAGCGGCTTACAGTCTGGAAATTACGGTATTTGGTTTGTGTGTTTTTGTAAAAATATATGCATCAAGTTGTCAACTTTTGTACGCAATTTTTTTTTCAAATCAACACACACAAGTTTAGACCAAAACAACAAACACGCAATACACTCATGAGGGGTCACATGCAATATTTTTACCTCAGTGGGGGTAGGAGAAAGGATCTGGGGGGACTGCAAATGAAGAGGGGGAGAAAGCATGTGATTAGGAGGAACTCATACGTGCGGTCATATGAGTTATACAACGTTCCAAGGATCAATGGGTGTCAGTGTGTACAGGGAGGAGGTGTTGGATGAATGGATGACTCCTTGTTTTACATGCTCGGGGCTGAGAGCTGAACAGAAGTCAAAACAGAGGAGAATCAGATGTAAAGCAGGTGTGATGACTAAAACAAACGTCATAGTGAGTGGTTCCCAAAGTGAGGGGCGCGCCCATAAAAGGGCAGAGCTTCTGCAGCATGGATGCAGCAAGGCAAACTGAAAGCTATTTTCAATGAGAATAGTTAGGGGGCGCTGCAGAAAACATTCAGGAACCACAGATTTAAGGAAAGATGACGGAGGCAACACAAGACTAGAAAAGTCCACCACATATATATAAATATATATATTTTATTTTCTATTTTAAATACATATAAATCTGTGATTCCAGATTTATATGTATTTAAAATAGAGTATGGATCTTAGGAATATATTTTATAAACATATTTATTCAGCACTACGCATCTTAGGAATATATATTTTATAAACATATTTATTCAGCATTAACCACTTGTCCTCATACAATAAGTGTCAGTATGGGAACTACAGGTTAGCCCAGCTGACTCCAGATCAGCAGACCATCACAGGACCAACATGCAGGAACAGAACAACCGTCACATGTTCATGCCTACAGGTTATGNNNCTCTTTCATTTCTTTTTCCTGCCTCTCATCTCAACTGTTTTTTTCTCTACAGGACACAGTATACTCTGTACTGTCTTGTTAACATAATATCACTACAATTTTGTTTAATCCCATTTTTATTCCTCCATCTTCCTCCATCTTTATAGCACTCCTTTTTACAGTAAGAAAAAAATGTATTTTGTAAAGTGACTTATTAGTGACTTCTAAATAAGGGTTCTGTGATAGGGAAATGCAGTGAGGAAAATGTTCCTTTATTATTTGCATTATTTTATCAGGATATTATCAAAGTGTCAAAAAGCATGCTGCACACAGAGGTAAAAGGTTTTTTTTTATGTTCCAAATCATTTTTTATTCTTTATTATTATTATTATTACTACTACTACTAGTAGTAATACTAGTGGTAGATGTGATAGTAGTAGTAGTTGTATTAGTACTATTATTATTATTACTATTATTACTAATCCTTTAAATATACATTATTCTTAATGTTGTCCCCTTTATTAACAGCAAGCAATAGATAACTGTGTTTTAGGCTTTCATATTATTTTAAATGACTTTACATTTAAATGTAAAGTACTTTGATATAATATCTTTTAGAATTTAGACACCAGAGTTAATTTTTTTTAAGACAATGTAATGTAATGATTTAGATTTTCTTTTAGATTTAGATTTTTTTTTTAGATAGTCTAGGAAAATATAACAATAACAATTAAAATACATATCAACAAATCCTAAACTAAAGCACTTAGTTTCGGACATTTTACATTGAACATTTATTAATATAATAAATATGTAATTAGTTTTCCTTTTGTTACATTCTGGTCTGTTGACCTTAACGTATGAAGAATACTTCATACGGTACGTTTTGGTTTTTTTTTACTCCTCCCTTCAACTGGTCAATCAGTTTATTCCGTAATGTCCTGGTTGGACTGCTTTTGTGTCAGCTTGTGATAGATTTTCTATTCTCTTGTTGCCATACAGGTCAATAACAGCTGCATGGAACCAGAGCCAAATGCTCCTCCAGAACAAAGCTGTAATCAATGACCCTGATAAAAACCTGGGGATTGTTATGACCACTCCAATTAATAGGAAAAACTGTGGTTTTGCATAGAAGCTAAGTCATTAATAAAACCAGTAAACAAACAAAGCCTCCGGGATCAGAAATTGCTTTTGGCAGTGCACTAGAACAAGTTGACCTCATTTTGCAATGTTTTCCTAGAAAGGAGTCATTGCATCATTCCTTCAACCCACCCAGCACTGAGGCCCTTAGGTAGAGGGGAATAACAAAAAAATAAGCAGAAATGACCAGAATAATAATAATAAAAAGCAGCAGGTCTACCTCTCCGTAGTGCTTCTCCTCAGATAGGTAGCTGACATATGGAGAGTAGGACAACATGTCAGGTCTCTCAATGTTGTAGATAGCCTTGGTCTTTGGAAGAGCTGCCAGATCTTTGTAGTCCAGCGTCTCTTCACCCAGTTTGGCCTAGAAGCAGAGAAAGAGCAGAAAAAGCATACTGTTACTACAGCTGGTTTTTACAAAACAATATGTTATTCTGAAGTCCATAAAAGGTGCTTAGAGCTGTAATGTGAGGAGCTGCCGCCCCCTGGTGGTGCAGCCTTACATAGATGACTCTGCTAGGAGAGCCTGAAGCGCTGGAGGCTGGGACTGAAGTGATGCTCTCAGATGAAGTCCGGGTCACCTGAAACAAAAACACAAAAAAGACTATGTAAATCCAAATTTTAAATAAAGTTTTAAGTTATTGTTCACCCAATCAAGCTCGTGCTATTTCTAGCTTAGTTCTATTAATTCCGTATGAAATAAATATATCAATATTTCATATACACTCTGTTTATGTCTGCACATGCAAACGCTAACAACGAAAGCTACAAACCATCTGAAATCGTAATGAGACTGCTCATCACCACAAAGCACATAACAGTTATCATCAACCCATGCAGCAGGTGTCTGTTGCGGGTGAGGACCCGGGGGAGAGAGAGAGGTGTGGTTGAGTTGAGTAAATGAGGTAGGGGCGGGTGCAGAGACAGGGTACAGGAGCACAGACCTGCTGCTCAGGGATGTCACTGAGCTGAATCCGGACCTGCTTCTGGAGGAGGAGAGGGGTTATGATGAGGATGGAGGACGGGAAATGAAGGGTGGATACATGTTGGAACTCAGCCCTGAACTCAACTGAACACCCTGACTCACTTGAGAAAAACCTGCGGATCTAATTGTGTCAGTTACACCAACCCACTCCCTATTAATCCTTGGTTGGTTTAGTACAGATGGTAAAATATGGAATTTAAAATATAGTTTTTTTTAATGGCTACAAATGGCCTGCTTTTTGTCAGTGCTTCACAGAAACGGAAATAAAAAAGACTTGATGACACCAGCAACTCCTACTTGTACCAATGTAAAAGTAATAGTAAATAATTAAAATTTTTAAGGTAAAACAATACAACAACAATAAATAAATATCAAAAACAGGACATACTCTGACTTTTTACGTTATTCTGCTGGTCCTTGTAAAATGTAACAAACCACTGTACTAGTTAAGTCTCTAAAAACGTAACTGAGGTAGTTACAGCAAAAAAAAGTAATTAGTTAGGGGAAAAGGGTACATTTTGCGTACCATTTTTATGTTCACATAATTCTGCTGTATGTTTCAGTTTTATGTCATTCAATAGACTGACGTCATATGAAGCCAACGTAGAGTATTCTGCATCAAAGTAAAATTAATATATCATAAAAGATACTTAATTCACTCAACATAGCAGACCAATAAAATGAAATACATTCGTGAACCTTATGAAAATGGACGACACGAACTTACGGTACTTGAATTAAAATTCGTCAACGCGGAAGTATACAGCCCCTGTATTCCTCGACATTGTGAACATTTAACATGAACACTATTGTTTTGTTTTGTTTTATATGAGTGAAAGTTTAATGTTTATTCTTCCTTTTACAATATGCTACTACATAATTGACAATCACTGTGTGACGTCGCCGTCTGTGTATACAACTGCGCATGCGTATGTGTTCCGACCCAACTCTGACACTGGTTGGTTTACAGTCCAACCTCGACCCCTCCCCTCTCCCTCATCGCAGAAATGAATGGTTACGAGTGTGTTCTTACTTTAATTGTTTATGTATCGTGCGGATTATTATTTTCAGTAATAGTGACGGCGTTGAAACGGCGGGAACAGAAATAAATTACGTCACTTAAGTCATATCATTTTAACGTTGTTATTCCCATCAGTGATAATCGATTAAGTTTATCAGAGCAGCACTGCTAAATGCACATCTGTTTACGTTGAGGTAAAACAGGTTTCAACGGTATGACTGCTTTAACCTGACTCTGAGTCTAACAAATCGACCGTCTATAACACTTCTGGCTTTTTCGTATACTTCTATATGACCACTCATGTTCCACTCACCTTGCTCTTCTCCTCCAGCTTAGCCGCTTGTCTGCAAGGAGGATGCCAGATGGAAGATCCTGAAGACGCAGACGGACAGAGACCAAACTGTCAGATGTCAATTGTTAATCCACAGACACATATAAATAATAAAACATATGCAAGCTATCAGCTGTTGATGACTTTGTGTCTATTTTGTTGCAAAATTGTGTGACTCTATCTATATGTTACCAAGTTAAGTGAATAAACAAACATTTAAGATGTTCCCTAAACCCAATACTACATGCTACAACTAAATAAAGACTAAAAAAAAGCTAAACTAATAAAAAGCCTAATACATATATAAATATATTATTAAATATAAATAGTACATTTCCACATATCTTTGTAAGTTTCCCCATTGTGGAGCTTTCCCTAAACCCAATACTACATGCTACATTTTAAAAATAAACTAAAAATATATTTTTTTTAACCTAAAACATACTGTATATAAATATAATATAAATATAAATTAACATCGAAATGAATGTCTAAGTTCTAAGATGTCAGAATGAAGTAGAAAGTCCTCTGACTTCCTTCTTTCCTCCTACCCGTAATTCCAAACATTGGTAAACACAGTGAAGATTGTGTAAGGAAGAGTGGGACTATGCATGTTCTGGAAACCAATAGTTGTGATATAATGTTAGTTAACGTCAAGACTGATTTTAAACTA